CGGGCGCCGAGGCGCTCCCGCCCCCTCCGGCCCCGGCTACCCCGCGGGGACCCTCACCGCCCGCCCAGGCCCTCGGAGTCCGGAGACGGGCGGGGGCGACAATAGCTGTGGTTGTAGCAACTGGACAAACATTCCAGAGCTCAGGCCGGTGTGACAGCGGTGCGCGTTCCCGGCAAACCCAGTGCGGGCGGCGCGGTCCCTGTGGCGGCTGCGGCCCCGGGGCGCTCGGAAGAGGGGCTTCACGTCTCCTCTCCGGCCGCCCCCCTATTTGCTCAGGTGCAGCCCGCGCCCCCCGCGGTTCACACGCGGCTCTGGGCGGCCTCACAGGCACTGTTTGCACAGCCCGGCCCTCGCCCCTCTCGAGCTGTGTATTTGAATTTTAATGGCGGGGCCGCGGCCGCGGGCAGGCCGGTTCTCAAGGCCCCTTGACGACGCGCCGTGAGGAGCCTCCGCGCTCGGGGCTCAGTGTCCGGAGGACAATGACCGGGCGCGGCGCGCGGGGGGCCGGGAGGGGGGCGCGGAGGCCCAGGCTTCTCTGCATTCCAATCTCCGGGATCATGCTTTTCGCAAATAGAGATCGCCAGAAAGAATCTTCCCGCCGGAATTACCGAGGGTTTTTAATCTTCTCATCGGTTTCTCCGGCATGAAGTGCGGGCCCGGCCGTGGGAGGCCGCAGCCCGGAATGCGGCGGGCGCGGGGCCGGCCAGTCGCACGCCCCGCCTGACACGCCGCGGCCTGTGCGCCGAATGCCAATGAGCGGCTCTGCGGTCCGCCCGGCCGCATGGCCGCTGCTCATTTCCGAGGCCGCCTCCGGGGACCGCCCCGCCGGGGACCCCGGACAAGGGTGGCCCCAGGAAGGGTGCAGCCTCCAGGGCCAGGGAAGGGTGCGGGTTGACTGCGGGGGCGGGAGGGGTCAGGGGAGCGGCGTAGGGAAGACCCAGCAGAAGGTTCCCCGAGGCGCCCGGCGAAGGGGTGGGGGTGCCGCCTTCCCTACCTCCCAAGGCAGGGACCTCTCCCAGCGTCCCTGACACTCCTTTCCTCTGGTGGGAAAAGAGCCACGTTTTCCTTACCTACTAACTCTTTCTCCACTCACATCTGCTGCTCAACACCGCGCAGGGCACAGAGGGACTCCTGGGGAATGCGGTGTGAACTGCTCTGCTAAATGCCCACGCGGGCTAGAGGGACTTGGGCCAAACAGCCGCCAGGTTGGGGCATTGGCTTGTGGGCTTAAAGCCTTCCTGCCAGGGCGATTCCTCGCCAGCGACTGCGCGGGGCATTGCAGGCCTGGGAAGGGAAGCACTCCCAGCAGGCTGGTCGCAGCCGCAGCGGCCTTTCCAGCACTGCCGTGGCCTGGGCAGCCGACCTGCTGCTAACCAGCCGGGTGGCTTCTGGGCTTGCATGTCCAGATGTGGGAAGTGGTGGCTGCTGGGTTTATCACTCCCACCAGGCCTCTCCCCACGGGCTGTGCCAGTGAGCTGAGCTGGTTTGGAATCCGAAGGCGCTCCCGGGAGGGGAGAGCACAGGGGCCTGCACCCTGGACATAAGCTCCTGTTGGGGGGGGCGATGACTCTTAAGCCCTAAAGGAGAGGAGGATGAAGCCAGACCTGGCTAACCAGCAGGCTGCAGTCTCCCATCAGGAGAGTGTCCCCCATCTTTCTCCCCTGTCTCCGCCACTTCCTGTGGGGGCTCCGGGAGCGGGTGGGGTGACTCAGGAGACACATGCCCCCTGCGTCAGTGTTCAAGGGACCTCGGGCCTTTGCAGCCATAAATGGGAGGGGGGCGATGCCGGCTGGGGTCGAGCCTCACAGAGCACACCCCCCCCGCAGAAGCACATGCCCTCCCTGGTCCCCCCCCCCCCCCCCGTTTCTGTTGCTTTGCCTTGAGTCAGGCAGCAGGGCACCAGGTGACACCCTTGGTGGATGTGGAGCTGGGGAAGGGTGCAGTGGCAGGGATGGGGTGCGGGCAGGGATCACTCACCTGCTTTCACAGAGCAGTGGATGTGTGCTTTGGACTCATAGTACACCCAGTCGAAGCCCGCCTCCACGGCCAGGCGCGCCAGCATGCCGTACTTGCTGCGGTCCCGGTCTGACGTGGTGATGTCCACGGCGCGGCCCTCGTAGTGCAGCGACTCCTCAGAGTGGTGGCCGTCCTCGTCCCAGCCCTCCGTCACCCGGAGCTTCACTCCTGGCCACTGGTTCATCACCGAGATGGCCAAGGCGTTTAACTTGTCCTTACACCTCTGCAGAGAGAAGGGCGGCGAGGACATCAGCACCAGCCCACACCCACCTCCCCGCTGCTCAGCGGTCCCTGCGGCCAGGGTGGGGCCAGCCCTGAGCCCTGGAGGGGGCGCCATCAGCCCGGAAGAGGGGGCACCGGGCTGGGAAGGGGTGTCTGCAGGAGCAGCTTCCTTTAGAGATGAGCTGAGGGCCGTGTCTGACCCTGAAGGAGCAGAGACTTTGGGGGAAGAGGGAACTGTGTTTGCAGACAAAGGCTGCGGGACCCACGGGGTACCCTTGGCCATGCCTTGCGCCTTCCCCAAGGTGTCCCCCACCCACTGCCACCCCTGGCTGTGGCCCGTTTCTCTGCACCTGTGAGGGGCTCCGCCCTCCTCCCCGGGAGGCACACTCCCTCACCCGGAGGCCAGAGGGAGGCCCGAGGTGCAATTTTGCAGAAACCAAGCAAAACGCACGACTTCTTCAAGAGCCCAAAGCCTCGCCTTATCTTTGGACCCTCCCTCCCGCCCTAGGCCTATCTGAGGTGAGAATGAAGCCAAAGGTGGAGGGAGGGGGGCGCTGATAGCAGAGGGAGGGTGGGCGAGAGCCAGCAGTGAAAGGCCCAGTGAGTTATAATTTTCAATGCGGCCGGGCTGGGCCGGACGACAAACAGTCTTTATCTGGAAGCCGCATTCCTCGGCCGGACTCTCTCGCTGCGGCTGAGGTCTGCCTGCCTCTTGTTTTCCTTAACCTGCTCCCTTCCCCCTCTTGTTTTCTTGGCTCTGGCGCAGAATGGTGTCCGGCAAGTTTGAAGAGCAAACTTCAGAGGTGGAGGGAGGCGGTGGGGAGGGAGAGGGCGTGGGGCGGGGAGGTGGGGGATGGGGAGTCAGAAATGCCTGAGGCCAGAGAGCCCTGCGCCTTGGGCTCTTCCCCTGAACCCGGCCTTCGCCTCCCCACCCCCAGCCACCTCGCGAGGAAGCTGCTCGGGGAGTGGGGAAAGCGGCAGGCGGGGGCAGGGTGCGGGAGCGGAAGTCTCCCACATCCCGCATGTGCGCGGTCCCAGAGGAGGAAGCAGTAACCGCCGAATCCAGTGCGTGTGTGTGTGTGGCGGGGACTCGCTGGCGGCGTCCTGCTGCGGGTGCAGGATTGGAAAGGACAAGGACACAGCCTGGCGGATCCCAAGAGGCCGGCTCCTCGGGGCGCGCGGCAGTGTCCGGCCGGGTCTGCAGAGGGCAGGGCTGCCTGCGGCGGGCGGGCGGGCGGGCGCCGGCCCCGGCCCCCAGAGCCGGGAGAGACTCATTTCCTCGGCGGGGGGAGGGGCGCCCTGCACACCGGGATATGATAGATTGCGCAACAGGAAAAGCCCTGTGTATTTGGCAGCAATAAAACGCAGTAATACGGTTGTAGAGTTAAACATACAACAGATGGGGGAGGGCGGCCCTGGTGGCAGGTCAGCGCTTGCAGGTTTCTGGGCCTGACAGCCGTTTTCTTAAAAAAAAAAAAAAAAAAAAAAAACCAGGAGGACAGAGTTTGAGTGAGGTCATCTTGAGGATTGAACGCGTTTTACATGAAAATCAATCCGAAAACGGGGGTCAGTTAGCGCCGGGCTGCGGGGCGGCGGCGCAGGCGCACACGGCCCGCACGCACACGCGCACGCCCGGCCCGGCCCGGCCTCACCCGCCCGCCCCGCTCTCCCGGCGCGGGGGGCCGAGGTGCCCGGCCGCGGCGGGAGGGGAGGCCGGACACGGGCCACCCTGGCGTCCGGAGCTGCGCCGCGTGGATCAGAGGCGAAGGACGCGGGCGAGGACGCAGGCTCAGGAAGGCCCGATCCGCTCCCGCGCCCCTCCTCCCCGGCGCGGCGGCGGCAGAGCCGGAGCCCAGGACGGCCATCAATTCACTGGGTCGTGTGCCGCGAATCAAGCGCGGCTCCTGTGCAGCCACCGTGAAGCCCAGCGGGGCCGCCGGCCGCTTTGTGCCGCCGAGGCCCAGCGGCTCCCCCGCCTGAGCTCCCGCCGCCTCCTCCGTCTGCGCCGCCGCCGCGCCCGCGCGGGAGCGGACCGGCCCGGCGGCGGCCTGCGGGCTCCCGGCGGGGGAGGGGCGCGCCAACTTCAAAAGAGCCCCCTCCGCCGGGCACACACCGCCCGCTCCTCCCGCTCCGCTCCGGGCAGCCAGCCTCCCTCCAACCGGGAAAACCCTCCGCAGCCACGCGGGCGCGCGGGGCCCTGGGCCGCCACGCACCCAGAAACCTGCTCAGCCCGCGTCTCAGGCCGGTGCCCCCGCGGCCTCAGCCAGGCCCTCGCGGGGCCCTGCCCCTCAGAGCCCGGCCGGCACCCGCCTGGCACCCGGGCCGCGGGGACGCGGCTCTGTCTGCGCTCCCCCCGCCGAGTTAATATTAACCAGGAGCTCATGCGTCCAGAATGCTCTCCGAGTTCCACTGGGGACGATCTCGCCACGGTTGAGGGGCTCGGGCGGCAGGCACAGTGGAGACAGACGCACGGAGGCGCGGGGAGGGGAGGAGGGCGCACCTGAGCGGAGCCCAGGGGGTTATGTGGAGTGAGGGCGCCCGTGCGCGGTGCCCCAGGAGAGCCCCAGCCTCCGCCAGCCTGGGGGGCGGCTGTGTCACCCCCTCACCCAGCCTGGCCCCTCACCACCCACGCCTGCCGCCTTCCACCTGCCCCGCCCTCCCACCCGTGGGATCAGAGCAAAAGGTAGGGCGGGAAGGGATGAGCCAAGGGCACCTTCCAGGCCGCTCCCCAGACACCCACGACTTTGGGGGGACATTTGTGGTGTCCATGCTGCCGTTCGGGCCTAGCTCTCCCCACCCAGCGTGGTGGTGGCTGCCCCTCCCCCGTCCTTTTGTGCAGGGAACGGGAAAAGCCACTGCCCAAGGAAAAAGTATTTGTTTTCGTTTCTCCGTCTGAGGGAAGTTGACAGAAGGTCAGAAGTTCAAATGCTGCCCGCGCACGCAGCGGCCAGAGTGGCGGGGCGCGGGGCGCGGGTCCGCGGAGGCAGCGGAGCCCCGCACCAGCCTTCCGCCCGCGCGGGGACCCGGCCGTCGGGCCTGCTTCTAGCCGAGGCCGCGGGCAGGGCTCGGGGGCCGCAGCGCCCGGTGCGCGGAAACTCGAGCCGCGGGATCGATCGCCCGCAGTAAGTGGAGCCGAGTGCGTCTGCCGGGTGTGCGCCTGCCCGGCCGCTCCCCTCCCGCGGCCCGGGGACCCCGCGCCGTCCCCTCCCTCCAAGGGAGCGGGGTGACGGGGTCGGGCCGGGACGGACCGGAGAACTCCCCGCCGCCCACAGCGCGGGCGCCCGGGGGCTGCGTGGAGTTCCCGGGGCCGGCGCGCGGGGCCGCACCCGCAACGCAGGTTTAGGGGGGTCGGAGCAGAGGGGAGCGCGGGGTGGGGGGCGGAGAGGGACCTTCTCCTCGGCTCCCTCCGCCCAGGCTTCGGCCGCCCGGAGCCCCGGGCCTCGGGCGGGAGCGCGGCCCCGGGGCTCCGTCCCGCCGCCCCCCTCTCGCACTCGGCCCCTTCTGCGCCGCTCAGTCAGCTGCTGTGCGCTCCTAGCCCTAAAGGTAGGACTTGACTATTTTAATAGGGCAATAAAAAGGATGTTGACCTATATTTGCCAGGAAATCCATTTCTAGCTTCAGTCCTACGTGCTCGGAGTTTCAGACAGCCCACCCCGGCGGGCGGGCGCTGGCGCGGAGTCTCGGCGGCGGAGGGAGAGAGGACGCGCGGGTTCGCTGGTTCCTCTCTCCAGCCCCTGGAGAGTCCCAGGGCGAACGGGTTGCAAACCGGCCTGATGCGGTGCCAATAAGTTCTAAGTCCCTCCCCTCAGGTACCGGCCAGGAGCAGGAACGCACATCCTTAAAGATACATGGATACATGCACGCTGCCGGCACGCCGCGCAGGAGTCGCAGGGGAGCTGGGAGCGCCGGGACCACCCAGGCCCCCAGCCCGGCCTTGGCTCCGCCATCTCTGGCCGCCCCAGGGGCAGCGCCCGGGGAGTGGTGGAAAGACAGAGGAGGAGGGAAGGCGCTCTGAGATGCTGAGGCCACATTTGTGCGGTGAGCTGGAGGCAGTCCATGGTTATGGGGGATTTCTGCCCCTTCCCGCATTTCCACTCCAAACTTGGAAAGGGCAGACACCCCAAAGGGAAGGACTCCCCAAGTCACCGCCAGAGTTGAGGCAGGATGGGAAGGCCATCCCAGCCAGAGAATCAAATCAGGGCCACCCGGGGACCACGTCCCCACCGCCGCCTCCCCCACCCCCACCCCAAAGTTTTCAGCTGGACCCTTCACCTGCTTTCCCTCCAGGAAGAGGAAGGGATGGCAGGTGGACAGGTGGGTGGGGAAGGCTAGGGGGAAATCGCCTTTCCCTCTGCCCCAGAGCAAACACACAGCCGGACGGCCTGGTCCCACAGAGCCCCCCGGCAGCGGCGACACCCTGCCCGCCCGCTCTGGCTTCTACCTGAGTCATCAGCCGGTCCGCTCCTGTGTTCTCCTCGTCCTTAAATATTATGTCGGGGTTGTAATTGGGGGTGAGCTCCTTGAACCGCTCCGAGTTTCGCGAGATCTTCCCTTCGTATCTTCCACTGGCCCCCAGGGTCTTCTCGGCCACGTTGGGGATGAACTGCTTGTAGGCTAAAGGGGTCAGCTTTTTGGGGTGCCGCCTCTTCCCGAACCCCCTGCCCGGTCCGCAGGCCAGCCCGGAGCACAGCAGCAGCGAGGAGACGAGCAGGACCAGCAGACATCTCGTCAGCAGCAGCATCTCGTCCATGGAGCCGGTGACTTCCACGCCGTCCCCGTGCAGGTCTGTGCGCGAGTGCGCGAGTGTGTGCCGTGCGCCCTCCCTTCCTCCCGGGCTCGCCGCTTGCTCCCCCGCTGCTCTCTGCCTCGCTCTTTCTCTCCCTATAGCACCCTGCCCGCCACCAGCGCCGGGGACTCTCTGCCGATCCCCACCCAGACGGGGGCTGGAGCGGCGGGCTGCTGGTCGCTGATAACGGAGCACATCTGAGTTGGGGCGGGAGACAGCAATCAAAAGACAAAAAGAGTCTGATTTTAAATGGTAGCAAGCCTGGAGAGCTGTGCGAGAGGCTGTCTTCAGTACTATATTATAGCTGGCAGGGGCGCATCTGATTGGCCAAAGCAGCACAGCTTCGCTTCTGATGTTAACCCTAAAAAAGACTAGATTTTTTTTCTGTGCTGCTGTTGCTTTATTTTCACCTGAAGGCTCTGAGTTAAAAGGAGAAGAACAACACCTTTGCTAAGACGAGGGTGGGTGTGAGGGACGCTGCCCGCGCCCAGGGTGACACCAGTTACCCCCTGCTTTGTGCGTGTCTCCCTGTTCCCCCTCCCTTCCCCGGAATGGTAGGTGCTTCAGTTAAAACCAACTTAAGTTTTTAAAGGACGGCCTAGACCCCCCTCCCAGCCTCAATCATCAAACAAGTATTCTCTCCAGTGTCTGAGGGTAGAGCTGCCCAGAGCTGATTTAAATATTTTCTGAGACTTTATTATGCAGTCCAGCTCTGACAGCATTTTAAAGACACAGGGTCTGCATTTTCCTGAATCTTCCACATCCTCGATGGAGGGTCGTCCTCACCGGCCACCACGGAAGCACTGCTGTATGAAGGCGGTCAGAGCCCCCGGAGACTGGAAAACGTGGTTCCTTCTGTGTTTCCATTAACGCATTGTTTTTAACCCTCTGAGCATGGATGTAGGAGTGCGCGGGGCTGGGACTGGTGATCTGAGATCGCCTGCTGGCTGGGCCAAGTGGTGTGGGCACTGCACCCAGCCTGGAGGAGGGGGCACAGTGGAGCTGGGAGGTGGGCGGAGGCCCATTGTGCTGGGGGCAGCGTGAGTGGGCAGACTGCACACACCACCCCCACAAGCTATCGATCCGAGCAAAGTGCAGGCCAGGGGTGAGCTGGATGTGGGATCTGGCTCCTTCCCCGCGGTGCCCAGGGGCTGTGCCTGAGCCTGCGGGCCCATGCGGGGCTGCAGCCGAGGCGGGCGGGCCCAGGGAGCCGTGCTCTGGCTGCAGAGTGCCTGCAACACTAGCTATTTTTTTTTCCATTTTCTTTCAGAAAATGAGGTCCTGTTTAAAGCAGAAAAAAAAAAAGCAGAACCCCCCTTTCACAGGACCGTCCTCTGGGCCTCCAACGCCACTCCCGCCAGAGCGGCTCAGAGTGAGCCAGAGAGAGGGCTGCGGCAGCCGCCGGCCCTGCGGCCAGGCCCTGCACTTCGCTGGAGGCCGAGCCTCCCTGGGAGGAGCAGCGGGACAGGCAGGTCTGAAGGCTGGGCCCTCAACACCATGGGCCCCTCCAGCGTCCACGCGGGCCCCCTCATGTGGCCTTCTGGCGGGAGGCCAGAGGGGCCCAGTAAGAACTGAGCACCAGCAGGGCCTTTCCCAGGTTGACCCCAGCCCCCAGCCAGGTGGGCAAGCAGCCCCCTTTGCCAGGCCTGCCAGGTGGAGGGTGTGACCCAGCATCCTGGCCGCACAGCCCAGTGGGAAAGACACCGGAAGGACACCGGGTCCTGGATGCTGGAGAGTCAGCCTGCTTGGGGTGTCACCGTGCAGCAGCTCACATGGATGCAACACCACTGGGTGGGGTGGGGCTGGGCGGGGCTTCAGAAGCCCCTGGGCCTGGGGGACTCCAGCCTCCCCCCCCCCCCAGTCCCTTCCCAATCCTCCTCTTTTTTTTGCTCTCACACACTCCCTTACAAACCCAGGCACAAGCAAAGGGGTGCAGCACTGGGGTGTGACTCCGCAGCCCCAAATCAGGGACCCCATGTCACCACCAGTGCGCACAGCTGGGTGGTCTGCGCCCCAAGGCACGGGGTCCCCCCCAGCAGAGGCCTCAGATGGCCCATCGCTCTCCTGGCCTGGCACTGGCCGCCTCACTGAAGAAGCAGCGGTGCCCCCTCAGGCCGCACTGACCCCATTTCCCAGGGTCTTCCCTGGACAGACTCCACTACAGTTTCTATTTACTGTCTTAGCAACAGGGCACCAGCCAGGCCACTGAGAAGGGGAGCCCCTGCCTTTTCTCCCCCCACTTCTCTGACCCCAGACACCGAGGGCTCCCTCCTCTGTCTTCCCCTCAGACACTTCAGCCCCTCCCCACGGTCAGAGGCTCTGAACCCCACCTCTGCCTGATCCCAGGCCCCCCTCCCCGCTTTGCTTCTCATTTGCCTGGGCTCTGCCCATTTCCAGGGCCAATCTGCATCCCTCCACCCATCCTCCGTCCCGCACCCAGAGGTGGCTGCTGTCTTCTGCCCTCACCCCCAGGAGGCGCCTCTGCGCCCGCCGCCCGGCCCCCACCACTAGATGGCCTCCTTTCTCTGCCTCTGGTCAGGCCAAGGCCGGAACTGCGAGCAGGCGGGCAGGTTCCTGGGAGCAGGGTTAGCCCACTTGGGCCGCCTGCCCACCCCTCGCCCGCCCACTTCTGTGGCCCCTCTGGCCCCTCGGGGGTGGGTGCGGCTGGCTCTGCGGCGGGGCTGGGCTCCTGCCTCAGCCGGGCCGCACTCCCGGCCTCTGCTCTGTCCCTGGGGCTGCGTCGCCTTCCTCACGGCCGCCCTCGGGGCCTCTTCCCGGGAGCCTTCCACGCAGCCTCTTTCCCTCGGTCACGGCTTGCCATTTCTTCCTGATTCTGTCTCCTTTCCGCACATTGAATACCCGTGCCCCCGTGGCCGCAGCCAGGGCTGTGCAGGGGTGTGGCCTGGGGTGCGAGCTTCCCTCAGGGCCACTGCGTCCGCCAGACACACAGACCTCTGCCCGGAAGGTTTCCGTGGGGCTGAGCCTGGTGGCAGCGCTCCTCAGCAGAGCAGAGCGCAGAGGGGCACTGCCAGGGACAGGAGGTGGTGCCCGCCAAACACTGTGCCACGAGGGGGGAAGGACCTGGCACCGCCAGGCTCAGTGACTGGGACAGGTGACCGCTGAGGCCTCCCTCACCCACCCAAGTGCCGTGGCCCCGGGGGTGCTTGTCCCCAGGACCCGTCCCTTCCAGCTGACCTTTCTCCTTGTGGCCGGGGAGCCAGGGATCACGTCCAGCCCCAGCCTTCACCTCCCGTTTTACCTCGGAACAGGCGCTGCCATGGTGACCTGGCGAGGGGTGCGCCACGCAGGAGGCGCGTGTCTGCTCCATGCGTGGGCGTGCAGGCGGGTTGGGCGAGCAGGTGGGTTGGGCGCAGGCTGAGTGCACAGGCTTCCTCGCTGCAGATGCCCGAGCTCGGACCAGCCCAGCGTGAGCTCGGCCTCAGGCCCCGTGGGTGTGCCCCCGTCCAGGCCCAAGGGACCGTGGCTCCCGTGAGTGGGTCAGGATGCGCCGCGGGAGTGGCGCACACCCGGGCAGTGAGGACAGACCTAGCGCTCTGCTCCCAGCTCCGTGTGCCCTTCCTGTCTCAGCTGCCCGGCCCAGGGACCACAGGAGTCCAGGGCAGAAGCACAGTCGCCCTCATTGCATCAGGCCACTTGGGGACCCCAGCAGCGCCTGGCTGCCCTCCCCACAATCTTGTCGCCTGAGGATCCCGTGAGCCCACAGCACTAGGGCGTGGGGATGTCCCTGCCCTCGGGCACCCCGTCTGCCTGGCATGCCCTTTGCCCAGGAGGACCTGGTGAGGAGCCCACAGAGCCCACGGGGAGGGGGGAGGGCCTGCTCAGGAGTGACTTTCTGATTCTTTCTAAAGATCAGGCATGGGGGACAAAGTGAGGTGTGTGTGCATGTGCATTAATGTGTGTTAGTGTGTCTGTATGTGTGCGAGAGTGTATGTATGTGCATATGGATGTGTGTGACTGTGTTTGTATATATATAAGTGACTATGTATATGTATGTGTATGAATGCAAGTGTATCGATATGTATGTGTATGTGTGTGACTGCATGTTGGTATGAGTGCACGTGTGATTGTGTGTGCATGTATGTTTACATGCATGAGTATGCATGAGTAAGTGTGTGTGACAGGAAGGTCAGGTCCTTGGGTGTGAGGACAGAGCTGGAGCAGGGAAGCAGGACTGGCGGACTGCTCAGAGGGCCTGACATGGGGACTTTGGAGGGGGACTCAGGTCTCCTGGGCCCAAAGCCGGTCCAGCTGGGAGGCCTCGGGCCCTTGTCACCTGCTCCCTCCCGCTGGGGAGCCCTGCCACTCAGAAGGGGCAACTGTGATCCCTTGGCAGCCAGCAGGCACTTAGGTCATTTGGACATTTCTGCCCAAATGGTCTCTTAATGAAAAAGGAGATGCAATGCTGACAGGCAGGAGCAGAGCAAATCAGGTTCGTCCGTCTGTCCGGTGTGGCCACAGCTCCATGCAGGCCAGCGCCTGGGGCTCCTCCTGCCCAGGCCGCCTGGCACCCCTCTGCCCTCTCCCTTGGTGGCAGGATGACAGGGTGCACCAGATTCCCAAGTCCCTCAGGGCTGCATTTTCTAGAAAGATCTGAACTTCCGTGCAGGGCCACAGACTACTGGAGGCATTCTCTCGCCTAGCATGTTGGCCAGGGAGCTGCCGTCTACACGTGCACCAGGGCCGGGACCACTCCTGACCTGTTCTATTTACCAAGGGAGCTGGAGCAACAGTGCCCTTCCATGCTGTCCTCGGAGAAGAGACACATCGAACTGGTGTCTTCCTTGGCAGAGCTCCGAGGCATTTGCTTCCACCATGGGCGGTGGGGGTGGAGGTGGGGAGCACGGAGAGGTGGGGGCGGAGGAATGTGCAGACATACCCAAAGGTGTGCGTGAGCGCCACCTCCATGCCTCCTCTTGGCTTTCGGAGTGAGGATGTGAGGATGGCTACCCAGAATGCACAGCCCAGCAGCCCAGCAACCGGGCCTGCCCTCTGAGTGGTGCCCACACAAAGCTGCCCCTCAAGCTCATCCCTCCACCCTCCTGCCATGGACACCGAGGGGTGCCCGGGCCAGGCCGGCAGGTCCCCAAGTGCGAGCTGCCTGGTTTCCCTGCGCGTCTCCATCGCGGGCTGCACTGGCATCGTGTCTGTGTGCTCCTTCGTGTGCTCCTTCTCGCCATCCCGATGTACTTCCTAGAACCGGTCTCCTCGAGCGTTGTAGTGAAGGAGGGCTGGGGTGGGAGGCTGGTTCTTAAAACACCGCCAGAGAAGGCGGGCAGAGCCACCCTCCCAGGTGCACGGGGCAGTGGCGTGGAAGCGGTTGTGAAGCTGCATGCCAACATGCTCACGTGGCACTTTGATCCGGCTGTTAATGAAGGCGTGGGTATAAAGGAGACAGGCACCTTGGGCAATGACTCCATAAAGGAGGCAGTAAAAGGTGTAATTAGGCAAATCGAATAAGGCAGGGCCACAGATCTCAGCTATTTAGTCACATATCATTTCCCATTACTTCGCTGTGTGTCTAAGCGAGGTCTGCGTTTTATAATCCGTGTTGGACGCGGCCGCGGCCGCGGCTCGCGCTGCTCTGAATGCCCTGCCTCGCTCTCCCGCTCCCACGGGCGTGGTGCAGCAGCTCTGGAGGGAAGGGAGCCCGGCCCAGCAGCCCAGCCCGCTCCTTCAGGCTCCGGGGAGCGGGGAGCACCCTCGGCGCTGTGGCCGCCGCCCCATCTATGTCAGGTAGCTGCGTCCCTTTAACAAGCACAGATGTTCTGCCCCGATCCCCTGTAATGTGACAACTAATCCATCGGTCACCTTTCTTTGTAGAAATAATCAATTCCAATCAGTAATTGCTTTTGGGCAGGCGTTCAACCCTGCTGTCATCCTTTGGCTCCCAGCACCGTCAGATCAGCGGTGCGCAGGCCGGAGAAGGCCCATAGGTATTCCAGGCCAGCGCCTTCCCCCGAGGCGCCTTCCGCGTGATCCGAGCTCTGCTCCGAGTCCTGCTGCTCAGACACGTGTCTCCAGAAAGGCAGACCCCTGCGTGTCGGGGCCGGGGACCCCGCCTGGGGTATCACAGCCACTCTCCGGGGAAGGTTCTCAGGGAGGAAGGAGGGAGGGGGAGAGCTGGACGTGGGTCAGAGGTGAAGTGCGAGAATCTAGCCGCAGAGCATTCGCACCTGGACCCTTATCCCCGTGGTCAATCCTGCAGGACAATGTGAGGACCTCAGCCTCTGAGCGGCCCTGACCACTTCCCGCGGCCCCCATTGCCCCCGGGGCCGTGGAGCTGGGCTGTGTCCCCTCGGGGGTGCTGGGGCTCCACTGTTAGGTTCCGGCTCTTCTGTTGTCTCACACAGCCTTGGGGCTTCTCCAGCTGGAGACTGAAGTGCCCAGTACGTCCCACTTCCTCAGTGACACAGCCCTACGATGCCTCATGACATGAAGGCCCATGTCGCTGACTGTCCTGTGGGTGTTGGAGGGCAGAGCGCTGGAAGAATGATGGACGATGGTCACCAGAGCATTAGTGACAGGTGTAAGCCAGGTGTGACCCTCACATGCTCTTTAGGGACTTTTAAAATGGTGACGATTTTCTTGAACCCTTTTCTTCTCTCTCTTGAGATGGGCTTTGTTAAAAACAACAACAAGGAAACTGTTCCTGGTACAAAGGTTTCTAAGGTATTTGTTATGAAGGAATAAAAGTCCTATTAAAATATTTATAAATCGAAACAACCCCAGAAGCCACACACACACTTAGGCCTTTCAGCCTTCCAATCTGAAAGCCAGATAAATCATCGTTCAGGGAGCAAAGACGAAAAGTCAAAACACAGGGAGCGCTCAAAGGGTGGCCAGGGAGGGGGGGATGCAGTCTGGGAGGCGGCCTCGCCCCGGCCACGCAGGCAGAGCCCTCCATGCTTCTGGCTCATCAAACAAGCAAACAACAGCTCGTTTGATGTCATCTCTGCACGCACCGTTAAAGTTGAGAATTTTAGGGGAAAGTTGGGACATTGCCCAGCCCTGGCGTTACAGATGGGGAAACTGAGGCTTGCCTCACTCGAGTGCTCACGTCCAAGGGTTGAAATCGGCAAAGCCAGACTAGTGCACACACCAACCTCAGGTCCGAGGCCCGTCTGACCAGCCCCGGGTCAGGGACACAGCCCCATTATGTCCTGGCTGCTGGGGACACCAAGGCAGCCTGGCTGCTGGTCCTGCACCAGCCCATCTATTTCACAAACATCCCTGTGCAGAGACCATCTAGTGTGTCCTCTGGAGACAGCGTGGGCCCCAAGCCTGGCCTCCGAGTGTTCAGTGTGGGAAGAGCTGTGATCGGAGACGTACTGAAGGCAGTGCCCCAGGAGCCGTAAGCTCTGGGCCTGTCATACCCTCCGGAGCCTCCTGACCACACCTCAAGTACCCTTCTTGGTACCTGGCACCCAGGGGTCCCTTTCCTGTGGCCCTGATGCCTTCGTTCTGACTCAGCCCTCATTCCCAAAGGTGCTGTGTCCGTGTGGGCCAGCGGGCCCAGGCCCTCCACTGTTCACGGTGACCTGGGTGGGGCCTCGCAGATGGACGCCGTCCAGAGCCCTCTGTCATGGTTAGCGGAGGCACCCGGCATCCCTCCTGGGTGCTCAGCCCAGAGTGATGGACAGAAATGTCATGCATGGAGGGGTCCAGGCACCGTCTCAGCTGGCGACTCTCCAGCTGGCCCAGAGCCTAGGCCCTCGCTCCCCCTTCCACCCTAGGGCAGGCTGGCCAGGGAGAGTGAGGGCCCAGTGCTCCCTGGCGCCCATGCCATGGCCGCTGTCCATGGTTCTGCAGCCCAGCCCCCTCGCTCCCGTGTCAGGGTGATGGGAGTGCACAGTGGAGAGCTCTCAGGCCTGGGACTGCCTGTGGCACTGAATTGGGAAGCTGTGGGGAGCAGGGCACTCGAGAGGGAGTGGGTGAACCAGCCCGCGAGGCGGAGCCTCCCCAGCCGTGGGGGCTTGTTGCTCCTCAGAGCTGCTCCTTCCTTCCAATGAGCCTTCCTGGCAATGCCAAGGGGAGGGCACAGCCCTTGCCTGTCCCAGGGGAGCCAGCTGAGCCCTGGCTGCTCCCGAGAGAGGCCACAGGCATCCCTGCCCCGCGCCCAGACCACCTCCTCCCAGTGCCCGCTGGTGGCCAGCGTCAAGGCGCACAGAGTGGAGGAGGTGTTGTCCTGTGATGCCAGGCGTGGAGGGCTGTCCCACCCACACTGGTGTGTCACCCGTCTCATAACCCTGAGCTTCCGAGTGCCCCCACGAGGTCCTGCCCCGTGCCCAGACCTCACAGCCTGCACCCTCCCGTCGGGTTCAAAGATCCCAGGCCCCTCTCCTGCGGCTCTCATGGCTCCTGCCACCGACGCCAGAGACTCGGACACCGGAACGGCTGTACGGCCTGTTGTGGCTCACAGGCCATGTCGACGCTGCCTAACCACCTCCTTCCTGAGGGACAGATGGGCTTTCGCACCACCAGGTCCTCAGGGGAAACCCCGCAAGGCCTTCCAGACACATGCCGGCCGTCTGCCAGAGTGTCTACACGGCGGCTTCGTGGGGCAGGTCACATGTAGGAACCGAAGAAGCGCGCCGAAGGACCCTGGGTCCCGGGGAGCGTCCCAGTCCCTGCTCAGCTCCACAGAGAAAGTAGCTCTGGACCCTTATCTGCCGTCCACTCTCTTGGAGATTCTGGCTCCTGATGTCCCCGCTGCCAGCCCCAGTGGGACTGTCCCCGTGGGGGACCAGATGTCCATGGCTGAGATTGTCCTCATGGGCGGCCAGACAGCAGTGAAGCGAGGGCAGAGGTGGAAAGCCAGGTGCCTATCGTTGTCCCGATGTCTCCTGCCCAGCCTGGGCCCTCACTCACCTTACGGAGCCCCGAGTCTCTTGGCCTGCTGTCTCTCCCTTTGGGTGGGAGAGGGGATGGGACAGTCTCTTCTCTGAGCTGTTTTCTGCATGGGAGAGCAGAAAAAGGGGCCTGTACTGTCCGGGTGTCTGTGTGGCCCAGTGAGCGTGGGGATAGTGAGATAACGCACAGGGAGGTCTGACCAGAGGAGCAAACCAGACACGTGTGTGTCTGATGGAAGCTGCCCTGCTCACCCTTGTTGCCCACTAGGGAGCGGACTTCATTCAAAGTCAGGGTCAAAGCCTCACAGGTCGGGAGGTGGGCAGCACAGTCGTTGGAGAAGCTCAGAAACACTTGTGGGAAATGTGTGTGTGACCCGGCTGGAGCGACCGGGGTTCACGTGTGAGGGACTCTGGGAACTTTCTGGACTGTCACCTAAGTAAAGGGCTAACGTTGCTGACCTGAAGTAGGAAAAAAATGAGTTAACGGGTGTTGCTCCCTTGGGGTTAAGCTTATGTCTCGTGAAATTTCCTAAACGTAGGGCACCCCATCAGGTGGCGCAAACACTGGATCCCAGAGTCCGCAGTACGACGAGAGAGCCTTTTGGAGAATGATGATGGGCCTAGAGCGCCAGCCCAAGCACCGAAGGGCTGTGGGCTCGATTCCCAGTCCAGGGCATGGACCCGGGTTGCAGGTTCCATCCCTGGCCTGGTTACAAGAGGGAGGCAACCAATCAATGGTCTCTCTTACATCAATGTTTCTCTCTCTCTCCCTCTCTCTCTCTCTCTCTCTCTCTCTCTTCCTCCTCCTGTTCACTCGATAAATCAATGGCAAATATATCCTTGGGTGAGGATTAATAAACATCAGAAGAATAATTAGGTTTCATTTGGTGACTTGTTTTTGGTGGGCCTGTGGGCTTAGCTATGATTTTGTCCACATTTTCATGGACGAAACCATTGCAGTCCTGGTGATTGATCGTCCGAGACAACGGCTGCATCTTTACAGAAAAAGGCTTCGGACCTGACACCTCTTCCGTGGGCGGCCACGGACTGGGCCTCGAATCTCAGTGTCACCAAGAAGCAGAGCGTCCCTGTGCCCTGTGGCGAAGGTTTCAGGTCCGACCCACAGGCCGACCGCCCTGGCAGCCGGAGCCACGCAGGCACCGTGAAGACACGTGTGGGACCGCGTCCTCCGCAGCCGTGTAGACGCGGGAGCGGTGTGCGGTGCGCAGGCTGCTGCACCGAGTCACGTGGTGCGCTCTCTCTCCGCGTGCTCTCTCCGTGCGCTCGGCAGTCTCAGGGCCAAAGGCTGGGACCCGCTGGTCCGTGTCAGGGAGACGGAGCACGTGGGGCTGGGCTGTGGCCTCAGGCCTGTTCTCGAGGCGCCATTGCCCCCGGGTTGGCTTCACGGTTGCTTCGGGACGTTACCCACGAGGAAGTCGTACTGCCCTCACTCACTGCACAGAAGGCTGCTTCCGCCGGCCGGTGCTGCCTCCCCGAGGCTCTCCTGCCTGACGAAGGCCTGGCAGCTCTTCCCAGTGAGCAGGCCCCGGTCCTGTGAGGCTCACTCAGGACTGTGCTCGGGGCTGGGGGTCCGAGCGGAGGCGGCCTGGGGTCTTCGGGAGCCTTTTCCCCGGGAGGCGGCACCCCACCTTCCCCGCTGGAAAGTTCTGGTGCCTCTGTCCCTAGTGGGCCTATAAACCCAGAGGTTTGCAGAATTTGTGACCCGCTTCCCGCTCTCGGTCACAGACTCTTTAAGTGTATGTGACACGTGTGTGCATTTCTGCCCAGCTCAGGAAGGTTCTGGCCTCCGCAGGCCGAGACGATCCAGATCGACACCAGGCATCCACTGGGAGACTCACTGGCTCTTCCAAAGGAGGGAGAAATGCTGTCCCCAGGACACTCATTGGCATGACTGTGGGTGTGGTCACGCCACAAGGGCCTCAAAACAAATGTGACACTCATGTGCATGCACACACACAACGCCAGTGTATAGGCACACTCATGTATACACACACACACACATGCACACACACTGCACACATGTGAATGCGATCCCAGTAAGGAAGCCAGCTCATGTGACCAGGAGCTCAGTGGCTGCCCTCCCTGCTGCTCACTTCGCTGCTGTCTGACCTGGTGGGACGGGTCACCCCTGGATGTGGCTCCTGACCTTCCTGGTTTTTCTGAAAATGGCATCCACCCTTGAAGAACAAGTAGCGGTCATTTTTGAGAACATCTGGAACGCGCACTCTTCGGGGCTCTTTGGGAGGCTGAGTGTGAGTGGGGTCCTCGTGTGGGTTGCAGTCAGCCTGTGGTGCCGCCATGAGCTGATGGGAGGGCCGGGCTGTGGGCGGGGGTCACACTGCCGCTTGTGGCCCCAGAACAACTCCTGTCTCTGGGCTCCTCTGACGGGGAAGCTTTCTGCCCTCCGTGCCACTCCCATCCGTGCTTTCCGTGTCACGCCTGGCAGGCTGGCCTCCGGGTGACACTGCTTTGGGTGTGTGCCCGCTTGGCCTGGCTTCCTGCTGGAGCTATTCCTGGCCTGGGGCCCAAGCCCTACCCTCCCTGCGAGGTCCCTGAGGGGCCACCTGCTTCCAGGGCGTGGGAGGGCGGCGGGAGGCCTGGGCTCGGTGCACACCGGCCTCCCCTCGGCGGCACGCAGCTGCTGGTGGGCCCGGGCTGCGCGGTCAGGAGTGAGGCCTCTTGGCCATCACAACGGCCTGTGTGCGTTTGGACAAGAAGTTCAACTATCGGTTTCCCCGACTTCATCTCTAAAGCTGCTGCCTTTTATCGCTGGCATCCTGGCAGCTCCGGGGCTGGGGATGCCCTCCGCTGACAGAGGGGGGTCCCGGGCACAGTGGCTCCCAGCACACAGGCACTCCCTGACCCGCCCTTCGCTTTGGAGAAAACATTGACGTTTACTTCCTGAGGACTTCACCCGGACAGTGACCGGTGCGCTCCAGTCACCGCCGGGCAGCAGCGTGCTGCCCAGGTCACAATTAGCCCCCTCACCCGAATCTCCTCCCCCTCCTGGGTCAGGAGCCGCGTCCCCCGGGCTGGGGGTCTAGGCGGGTGGTGGCAAGGAGTCTCGCCGGAAGGAGGGTCAGGGCTGAGTGCGGAGCGGAGGGAGGACTGCGGCCCGGGTGCAGGAGGCACATGCGGAACCTCTCCCTGGCGGCTGGGCCAGGCAGATGCCCCAACCCACCCGGGTGACCTCTGCCCCCAGGAAGGTGCAGGCGCACCTGTGTGTGTCCAGGTCATCGCTGGGAGCGGCGGGGGGGAGGGGGGAAGGGGGTGAGAGGGGTGAGGGGAGAGAGGGGGGTGAGAGGGGTGAGGGGGTGAGGGGGTGAGGGGGATGAGGGGGATGAGGGGGGTGGAGGGGGTAAGGGGGTAAGGGGGGTGAGGGGGTGAGGGGGCTGTGCTCAAGGGCAGGACAGGACCCCTGTGCCAGGCCCTCGTCCCCAGACCCCGGCCTTGGGCGCTGAGCAAACATGCACCGGATTAGACCACCTGTGATTTGGGGGCCACTGGGGACTGCCCCACCTGCTGGGCACCTGACAGGCCGTGCAGCGAGGCCACAGCCCAGCCTCTGAGCATCAGGTCCCGCTCCCAGGAGCAAGAGCCGGGAGTCACAGCCTGGGGTGGCACATGCGGGGACAGTGAGAATCAGATGGTGCCCAGCCAGCTTCTGCCCATGGCCACTCCCGGCCTCGCTCACCCCTGAGCTCAGGAAAACGGGGGAGAGCCCAGCTCTGGGATGGACCCCAGGCTCCTGGCGTGGGCATGGGCCACACAGTGGTGACTCGAGGACGTGCCCTGGAAGACGTGCCAAGGACTTGCCAAGGACTTGCTCGAGGACGTGCCAAGGACTTGCTGGCCTTGCTGCTGGCGGTGGCTGGGGCCCTGGGTGTGCCCCATTCTCACCCTCACCTCACACTCCCACCTCTGGCCCTCTGCTTCTGATCCCTCAGCTCAGCACAGCAGGAGAGGAGCAGGCGTTGGTGCCCTGGTGGGGGGTGCGAGAGGTTCCCAAGTGCCTGCGCGTCCCACCCTTGGCTGCTGCCGCCGCTGCCACCGCCCTGAAAGCCCAGGGCCTCACATTCCCGCCAATGATCAGCCACGGCCGCTCTGGGTGTCCGGTGCCCCACTCCGAGGCCTGCCCCCACCCCCGTGCCCCACTCCGGGGCCTGCCCCCCCACCCCCCCCCCCCGTGCCCCACTCCGGGGCCTGACAGCCCCCCCGTGCCCCACTCCGGGGCCTGCCCACCCCCGTGCCCCACTCAGGGGCCTGCCCCCCCCGTGCCCACTCTGTGGCCTGCCAGACCCCTGTGCCCACTCTGTGGCCTGCCAGACCCCGTGCCCACTCTGTGGCCTGCCAGACCCCCGTGCCCACCCTGTGGCCTGCCAGACCCCCGTGCCCCGCTTCCAACAGCAGGATGGGCTCCAGGTTCTCCACTT